CGGTGCGCGGGGAAAACGTGTCACCCATGGACAAAACACACATGTAACCAGCCACAAATCGTCTCTTTCCTATATATATATATATATTTGTATATATATGTATGCATCTCATTAAGTGTAGTAAGAGAATAAAACTTTTATATTATTTACATCCACTTTTAGGAAGGGGTGGGAGGGATTTATTATTTGCTATTAGTAATGGACTACTTGGCCAGGATGCAGCCCATGAAACTCCTTTTCCATGCACGCACCCACTGTCATGTTGCTCTGGTGGGGGTGGGATGGGATGTTCAGGGACAGGATGGGATGTTCAGGGACGGGATGGGACATTCAGGGATGGTGCTGGGACCCGGCTCAGTGGCAGCCGCACGATTTCACCACCATGTTGCGGTGCTTCTTGAGGATGACGTTGTTGTTGCTGTCGTAGTAGAGGACAGAGGTGGCACTGAGCTTGGTGGGGGCACAGCACGCCTTGGGCACGGCCTCGGGCTTCATCAGGTGGACCTGGGGGGATGGATGGAGCCCGTGAGTGCTGGCGAACTCAGCCCCGGGTAGAAGAAAAAAGAAAAAAACCCCATCAACTCAGCTCTTAACTGCAAAAAGCCTGGGTGAATGGGGAGATTATTTCCAGCTTTTTTTTTTTTTTTTTCAAAAATATTTATTCTAAACTCTGGGCAGGCCTTGCTGCAGTTTATATTGGATCGGGGCTTGTGGCGCAGCACGGACTGGGGCAGCCCCTTCGTTAATTTGGGATTTCGGGGCCCTTTTCTCCCTGTAAATAGGCAAACAGCTAAAAATAATACTAACGAGGGCAGCGCGGGTCTCGCTCCCGCGTGGGCAGGGGGTGCTGGGTGCTGTGGCAATAGAGATTCTCCTTCAGGGCTCAGCGCTGCCCCAAATTCAACACATGGCACTAAAATCTGAAGCACACACCACCTCTGTGAACACGACTTTCCTTCGGCTCGTCCATCCCCTGCCCAGGACACGCGTTATCCCAGTGACCGGCCGGTAAAGCCG